TGTCCCCCTTCCCTTTATGTAAATGAATTGTACATGCTCTTTGCAAATCCCTACTTACTTTCCCCTCTTTCATACATTTATTGAACAAAAATACCAATCACTCCAACACTCTATGCCCTCTGGCTTTTAACATTTCTGTCATGATCCTGTCAGTTCCAGCTGCTTTACCCTCTTTTATTCTACGTAATGCCTCATGTACCTCCCCCACCCTCACATCCTGGTCTTCTTCACTCCTAAAAGATGTTATACCTCCCTGGCCAGTGCACGAAATTACCCCCTCCCTTCATCGACATTTGAAAGTTCCTCGAAATATTCCCGTCATCTTCCAGTACCTCCAGCTTCCCATCTGCTAACTCCCCTACTCTGTTTGTAACTGACAAATCCAGTCATTCCCTAGGCTTTCTTAACTTGTTTATCCTGCTCCAAAAATTTTTCTTATTTTCAGCAAAATTTCTTGACAGTGCCTCTCCCACTCCATCATCTGCTCTCCTTTTGCACTCTCTCACCACTCTCTTCATCTTTCTTGTACTCTCCATATACTCTGCTCTTCTTATAACACTTCTGCTTTGTAAAACCTCTCATAAGCTACCTTTTTCTTTTTTATCACACCCTTTACTTCATCATTCCACCAATCATGCCTCTTTCCTTCTGCAACCACCCTCCTATAGCCACAAACTTCTGCCCCACATTCTAATACTGCATTTTTAAAACTATCCCAATCCTCTTCAACCCCCCCCCCCCACTATTCATTCTTGCACTAATCCACCTTTCTGCCAATAGTTGCTTTTATCTCACCCTAACTTCCTCCTCCCTTAGTTTATACACTTTTATCTCTCTCTTACTTGTTGTTGCCATTTTCCTTTTATCCCATTTACCTCTTACTCTAACTGCAGCTATAACTAAATAATGATCCAGTATATCCGTTGCCCCTCTGTAAACATGTACGTCCTGAAGTTTATCCATCAACCTTTTATCTACCAATACATAATCTAACAAACTACTTTTGTTACATGCTATATCATACCTTGTATACTTATTTATCCTCTTATTCATAAAATATTTATTACTTATTACCAAACCTCTTTCTACATATAGCTCAGGTAAAGGCTCCCAGTTTTCATTTATCCCTGGCTCCACAAATTTACCTACTACTCCCTCCACAATATTTTTACCAACCTTAGCATTGAGATCCCCAACCACAAGTACTCTCTCACTTGGTTCAAAACTCCTCACGCACTCGCTCAACATTTCCGAAAATCTTTCTCTCCTCTACACTTCTCTCTTCTTCAGGTGTATAAACACTTACTATAACCCACTTTTCACATCCAACCCTTATTTTACACCACATAATCCTTGAATTTATACATTTATATTCTGTCTTTTCCTTCCATAACTTATCCTTCAACATTATTGCTACTCCTCCTTTAGCTCTAACTCTGTTTGAAAACCCTAATCTAATCCCATTTATTTCTCCCCACTGAAACTCTCCCACCCCCTTCAGCTTTGTTCCACTTAAAGCCAGGACATCCAGCTTCTTCTCATTCATAACATCCACAGTTATCTCTTTCTTTAAAGGAAAAGGACACAAGTTCAACTAATGTGACATTTTTATTGTGGCAACGTTTCGCTCTCCAGGAGCTTTGTCAGGCCGTTACAAACAGTACATGGACATAGAGGGTATATATAGGCTCAGAGTGAGGTGCCATACTAGTGGTAGTAGTAGTAGTGATATAAGTTGTAGTAGTAGTAATACAATATGGTAGAACAATTAACTTGCACATGAGTAAAAGGATATAAAAGCTATTACGTACTTGGGTAACATAAAAATAGGTTTGACAAATGTTTCTATTGGCGGCTGGCTAGAGAAGGCTTGTTTCAATGTTCATTCTCTATAATGTGCTTGTGTAGTATTAACAGAAGAGAATATGTGATGGCAGGGTTTACTGTTTTCAGGAGGATTCTTGCTAAGACTTCAGAGATGGTGAAGCTGCGTTTTTGTTTAATTGTATTAGAAACAGCGATTAGTGCTGATTCAAGGCACTTGCGTCTGCGGAAATTAGTTTCTTTGATCACTAATTGGGCGTCCCTGAATTTCATGATTGGTGGAATTTCGGTATTGTACATAGGCGTTGTTTAAGTTATCGTTCCTGCATGCATCAATGTGTTCATTGAGGTGGGTGTCAAGGTTTCTTGCTGTTTCACCTAAATAAATCTTGTCGCAGTCTCCACATGGTTTAGTGTAAACCCCTGTGTTCACTGGTTCGTGGTGCTTTGATTTTGCCCTGGTTTGATCCTTTATTGGAGTGCTGGAAGTGATGGCAACTCTGGTGTTAGCTTGTGAAAGTACTTTAGAAATGATCAGTGCAACCTGGCTGTTGGGAAGAATTATAACTTTGTTAGGAGTGGTGTTAGTGTGTGGAGAATTAATGATCTGAAGAGCTCTTTTCTTGCAATCTTTGATGAAAAAGGAAGGGAAATGTAAATCAGTGAAGGTTTGGTGAATGTATGTACATTCCTCGTCAAGAAACTCAGGACTACAAAATCGGAATGCTCTTAAGAAAAATCTGATGATGATGCCTCTTTTGGTCTTAGTATCTTGACTGGAATAGAAGTGTGTGAGATAATTTTTATTTGTAGGTTTCCGATAAACTTGAAATCTTAGGTTGTTATCTACTTTGCGAATGAGGACGTCTAGGAAAGGTAGCTTGTCATTGGACTCTTCTTCTAATGTAAACTGGATCGCCGGTTCAACTGCGTTGAGCCTTGCCTGAAGATTCCATACATCAAAACGTTTGGGAGTTATTACGAGGACGCCGTCCACGTAATGTAACCATGTGACGCTTGAAGGGATGATATTGGCGAAGTGTTCGGACTCTAGGTAGGCTAAATGGGAAAAGGGGTTACTATCTCATTGTTCCTGGCATTTTAGTTGACTTTTACAACACACATTGCTTACAGAGGAAAGATTGTTATTCCACTTCCCCATAGATATGAAAGGAAAAACAATAAGAACAAGAACTATTAAGTTGAAATCAAAGAAAACTCAGATGAGTGTGTATACATAAACGTTTACATGTATGTGTCATGTGACTTAGGTGTAAGTAGAAGTAGAAGTAGCAAAACGTACCTGAAATCTTGCATGTTTGAGACGGAAAAAAGACACCAGCTATCCTACCATCATGTAAAACAAATACAGGCTTCCTTTTTACACTTACTTGGTAGGATGATAGTACCTCCCCGAATGGTTGCTGTGTACCAGCCTACTTTTTACGTGTAGTAAATTATACAGAACAAGAGGTTACTAACCCCTTGCTCCCGGCATTTTCGTTGCCTCCTACGACATGCATGGCTCACACAGGAAGGATTCTTTTCCACTTCCCCATGGAAATGAAAGGAAATAAATAAGAACAAGAACTATTAGGAAAATGGAAGTCAGATGTGTAGTGTGACCTAAATGTAAGATGTACCTGTTATCATGCATGAAACAAAAATATCATAACTAAAACAAATTTAATATGGCTATGGATCTGTCAGTAAAGGATGCACTAATATACCAATTTATGGAGTCATTGGAGACTGGTTCATTTAGGAACGTTGTACTTGATATGCAGACCTTATATTGTACATTGATGACATTTTTGTAATGTTGTTTATAGGTTTTAACTTAGACAAATTCAGAAATAGACATTGAGCTTTTTTTTCAGTTTGTGTTAGGAACAGATGTCCTATTTCCTTTTCTGAGTGTCATAAACTACTACTGTGACTGCAACACAAGATGATGAGGGGTATACTACTGATAGAATTATTCTTGAAGTGTTTGGGATCTGCATCCCCAGTATTCCCTTACCTTTCCTAATCTCCTGAAGTAAGAGAGCATTTCAAAAGTCTCAGGGAAAAGCTTGATAGTTAACTTATTATAATATCAACATGCAAAACTGCTTATGACATTGCCATTGCCTGCATATTTACTTTTGAAATTCATCATTTTATGTAAATCGAGCAGTACTTGTAACACTGCTGCTGGTACTGAAAAGATACCTTGAGCAACAGGTTAGAGCTAAGCTTTCTCTTGACTAGGCTGCGAGGGTAGAAAAACTCAAAACTGATCACAGATAGACTCCAGGTCTGTATGAGTTAGGGAATATAAAAATGTGCCTAGAGAACCCACAATATCACTATCCTTTCAGTCCATGAACTGGCATATAGCAGCAGTCATCATTAAGGAACTGAATAAGTTATGACACTGTGGAAGCAGAAATATTTAATGATCTAAGACAGTAGCCCAGGAGAGGTTTTTTTTTTTTTATTCCCTTGTTTCTGATTTATATGCTGGGGATGATTATCAACCTCCCCCCCCCCCCCATGTTACATTGTAATCCATCTGTTCTTCTATTCCCTCTGCTATGCCAGGAATGTATGTGCATTTGTAGTGAAAAAAGCAAAGCCATTCTCATGATGTCCCATCTTCAGTATTTAGTTTGTCATGTAGATTTTTAAAGTTGCAAGTAGTTTTAGAACATTCCAGCCATATACCACCCGTTACTTTGCAGTTTGCAGTCCTGACTTTTTGCTTTTGCTGTTGATAGTGTTAAGAACTAAAGTACCTATCTTTCCTTATATATGCATGTGCTGTGTAAACTTAAGCTACCTTTTAGAGTGCTAAGTTCTTTCTTAAGTAGATTCTCTAGCTCATGTGGTGTTTTGTTTGGGGTTACTTGCCAAATTCAGAGTTTCCTTAATGCATATTTTTTTTGCTGTATCAAATTCTCTTGAGTAACAAACAACTTTCTACATTATTAATTTCTTTTTCTCATTTTTTTTTTACAGTACTTACTTTATCTATGTTTTTGAAGGTAATAACTTCTCTTTCATATAGAAGGCTTGGCCAAGCATTCCAGAATTTTTTTTATTATATTTTTAACACTTTCAGATTTAATCATGAATTGTAATTCCCTGTATAGCTCAGTGAATTGATTATTACCTTAAAGCTATATTCTCAGTGGTGAGGTAATCAAAGAAGACAGTAAAGAAGGAAAGGAAAATGGTGCATCATGTGAAGAAGTAAAAAAAGAAGAGGCTCAGAGTGTTGAGAACTCTTCTAAGAAAGATCCTCCAAAGAGACTCAGATCGGTAAGTCATTGTCATTAAAATCTGAAATGGTTGAAACAAACTTAATTTTTTTATATTTCTGAAGGTTAGCCAGATATAAAAATTTGAGTATGAACTAACAGTCTTGATAACCTCTTACACAGTCAAAGTATGCAAGACGTTCATTACTGATTATATAGCTATTTATGTAGGTATACATTTCTGTAGGTATACAGTATTTACATTGTTGCATCTTACACATTACAGGCATATAACAAGTATTTATTTGTATATAACCCAGGTTAGTTTAATATCTTTATTAAACACCCCATACCCATCCTGTGGGTGGTAGTTAAAAGATTACTGAGGCACATAATGGGTCTATGACAGGGCTGCAAAGTTTTGATAGATGAACAAGTTACAGTGGTAATGTTTATATGTATATATCTGGTTACAGTCGTAATGAGTTAATTTATGGAAATATGAATTAGGTCATGCGCACACAGGAAAAAAAAAGTTAAGTGGTAATGTGTTATTTACCGTGGGCAAAGTCAAGATATTTTTTCAGAATGATTGGTAATATACCATCATGGATAAAATACTTTGACATTTCATTAATTTTATATTCCAGTACATAATGGTGCAAGGTGTGACAATTGTCCATCTGGTAGAGTTTACATTTAGTTTGATCTACATCTGGTAATGGTGGTTTCAATATTGTGTATCCAGTGGGCTGAAGAGGGGTTGTTGAGATGGTATGGAGATTTAGAGAGGATGGAACAAAATAGGATGACTTGTAGGGCCTATAAATCTATTGTAAAGGGGAAGCAGGGTAAGGATCTTTCAGGAAAGGGAAAGGATGAAGGGAAGAGGGTAAAGGAGGTTTTGTATCCAAGGACTTGGACATCCATCAAGCATGTGTGGGTGTGTTAGATAGGAGTGAGTGGAGGCAGATAGTTTTTGGGGCCTGACAAGCTTTGGTCAGTGGATGGGTTTATGAAGAAGGACGTAAACTATGGAATTGATGAAGGAAAAAAGGTTGATGGTTCAGTGAGGTATCTGTGGAGACAAAGAATATTGGTTTAGAAAGACACGTACGCAAACACTATAACATATTTATTAGAAAACGTTTCGATCCTGGGACCTTGATCACTTCTAACATACAGTGTTCCTCCATTCTTATGTTCTTATGACATTCCTCAGGTCACGTGCGTCACATCTCACTCTCCGCCTATATATATAATGTCTTTCTACCTCTGTATGTTAGAAGTGATCAAGGTCCCAGGACCGAAACGTTTTCTAATAAATATGTTATAGTGTTTGCTTACGTGTCTTTCTAAACCAACTTGTCGGTATTTATTACCAAGGTTTATACCACAAAGAATATTATCCATGGAGGCAAAGAAGAGAATGTATGAGAGTATAGTGGTACCAACAGTCTTATATGGGTGTGAAGCATGGGTTATAAATGCTGCAGCGAGGAGGAGGAGGCTGGAGGCAGTGGAGATGTTGTGTTAAAGGGCAGTATGTGATGTAAATATGCAGAGAATTTGAAGTGTGAAAATTAGGAGGTGTGGAGTTATTAAAAGTATTACTCAGAGGGCTAAGGAGGGTTTGTTGAGGTGGTTTGGCCATTTAGAGAGGATGGAGCAAAATAGGATGACTTGGAGTCTGCATAAATCTGTAGTGGAAAGGAAGAGGGGTAGGGGTCATCCTAGGAAGGGATGGAAGGAAAGGGTAAAAAGTTCTGTGTGCAAGGGGCTTGGACATACTGCATGCATGTGTGAGCATGTTAAATATGAGTGAATGGAGACGAATGGTTTTGGGGGCTTGACGAGCTATTGGAGTGTGAGCAGGGTAATGTTTTGTGAAAGGATTCAGGGAAACCAATTAACCAGACTTCAGTCCAGCTAGCTGGTTCTCCCTGGGATATTTGCTGTTTGGAGTGACATCTAAACTGTCATATCTGCATGCCTCTGCAAAGACAGTGATTGTGTGTGAATGACGGTGAAAGTGTTTTTCTTTTTTTGGGTCACCCTGCCTCAGTGGTATACGGTGGGTTCGTTGAAAAAAAAATACACAACAATTTTTTTTTTTCTCAACGAGTCGGCCGTCTTCCACCAAGGCAGAATGACCCAAAAAGAAAGAAAATCCCCAAGAAGAAAACACTTTCATCATCATTCAATACTCTCACCTCACTCTCACATAATCACTGACTTTGCAGAAGCGCCCAGATACAAGAGTTTAGAAGCATATATAACATACCCCTCCAAACTGCCAATATCCCAAACCCCTCCTCTAAAGTGCAGGCATTGTACTTCCCATTTCCAGGGCTCAAGTCCAGCTAAATCTATAATAACTGGTTTCCCTGAATCCCTTCACTAAATATTACCCTCCTCACACTCCAATAGCTCATCAAGTCCCAAAAACCATTTTTCTCCATTGACTCCTATCTAACACGCTCACACACTCTTGCTGGAAGTCCAAGCCCCTCGCCCACAAAACCACCTTTACCCCGTCCCTCCAACCTTCACGAGGACGACCCCTACCCTGCCTTCCTTCCCCTACAGATTTATATGCTCTCCAAGTCCATTCTCTCTAAATGACCAAACCACCTCGACAACCCCTCTTTAGCCCTCTGACTAATACTTTTAGTAACTCCGCACCTACTCCTAATTTCCACACTCCGAATTCTCTGCATGATATTTACACCACACATTGTCCTTAGACAGGACATGTCCACTGCCTCCAGCCACCTCCTTGCTGCATCATTTGCAACCCAAGCTTCACACCCACATAAGAGTGTTGGTGCCACTATACTTTTGTACATTCCCTTCTTTGCCTCGATGGATAACGTTTTTTGTCTCTACAGATACCTCAAGGGAGGGGCGAGCCTTTTTTCAGTGATTAAGAAATTAATATTCAAAAATTATTGAAGAAAATGTTTTCCTCCTGAAAAATAGTGCATAATTCTGGCAACACATTGATGTAATCAGCTTGTTTCTATCATATTTCTAAGTATGTTTTTCATGAAATGTAATTTTTTTTTTCTTGCTGTCAGCAAGTGGACATGTTGGCAATTAGTGGGTTTTTTCCTCCAAAAGTTATGATTTTTATGATTGTTTCATTCTAAATACCCTCCTGGAGAAAATTTCTCCACACACTACATGGCAACTTCTGTGAGGACTGTAGTGAAGAGTCCCTCAGTAGCCTGCAGGCTGTCAACAAGGACAGAGGGGTGCAACACGCTGAGATTTGGCACGTCGCAACCGTAGAGTTTTATAGAAAATACAGTGGAACCTTGACTTAGGAGTGTCCCAACGTACGAGTTTTTTGAGATACGAGCCGTTGCTGGGTCGATTTTTTGCTCTGAGTTAAGAGCCAGCTGCATCCCCCTCTTCCCCCTCAACTCAAAACCTGGACACCTCGCTTGTTTAGCTATGATTTCATGTTTTTATTCCATGGAAATCATTCTCTTTTTTTCTCAGCACTGTACTTTACACTTACTTTCTTAGGACCCATGCTTAGAAAAACAAAATTTGGCCAAATGACTGTTAAAAATGTAAGCAAAGCAGGAGAGAACTGCTCCCACAGCGAGGTAAACAGTGCACTGAGTTGGTGGCATTCGTTATTATAATGAAAATAATAATAATAATTATTATTATTAGTGGTATTATTATTATTAATTTAAGTAACTAGAGCACAGATTCAATTCCCTAGATCGAGAGCCCCTCACCAGCATCAAGGTTCCTTAATGTTGGTGAGGGGCTCTTGATCTAGGGAATTGGATCTGTGCTTCAGTTCCCTAGATTAACAACAATAATAATAATAATAACAACAGCAATAGAGCTTCAGTTCCCTTTAATAATAATAATAATAATAATAATAATAATAATAATACACCTACCATCCGACTTACGACCGAGTTCGGTTCCGAGAAACCAGTCGTAAGTCGAAATGGACGTAAGTCGAACTTTACTACTGAATATCAACATCACATTTTTTATTGACTTTATTTTATTTTTTTAATTTGGTATTTCATGTTTTGCTTTACTTTTTATGCTGTTAGTACTGTATTTTATACTGTAAGGTTTAGGATAAACACTGTGTACAACACAAACAGTTGTTTATTTCCCAGAAATTTGGCATAAAAAACACGGTTGTAAGTCGAGTGGTCGTATGTCGAGCAGGTCGTAAGTCGGATGGTAGGTGTACTATAATATTACACTTAAGTCACTCAGTAAGTCAGTCAAGTCATTCAGGAAGTCCATCAAGTCACTCAGTCAGTCCGTCAAGTCACTCAGTAAGTCAGTCAGTTCAGTCAGTCAGTCATTCAGTAAGTCAGTCACATAAACTCAGGTTAACCTCTTTTTCTGTGTACAAAGTAACACTTCATTATGGTTACAGGTTATCTCTTGTCAAATATCTTTGTTTCCTTGTTAATTCTAAGACTTAAGTGCTTATATAGTGGACCCCCGAGTTTTGTGATTAATCCGTTCCAGAGAGTCTGCCAAACGTTGAAATTGCTGAATGGCGAAACCATTTTCCCCATAAGAAATAATGGAAATAAAATTAATCCGTTCCAGACACCCAGAAATATTAAAATAAAATATTTTTTTCAAATTAAATAAAGATTTACATACTGAAAACAATGAGAAATCAAGTACATACATCTATAAAATAATAATAACATTACACTTACCTTTACTGAAGACTTCTGGGTGGATGGAAGATGGGAGGAGGGGATAGGAGGAAGGTGTGCACTATTGTTTGGAAGGAGAATCTCCTTCCATTAGGACTTCAGGTACCAAGTCCTTATCTGGGGTTACTTCCCTTCTTTGTTTTTTAAAGACATTGGGAACAACTTGAGAGTACTGGACCCCTGTCGCACAAAATATCTGTCCAGAGAGCTCTGTTTCTGGCGTTTCTTTAAGATTTGTCTGAAGTGGGGCACAACACTGTCATTGTACATGTTGCCAATACGGCCTGCAACAGCTTTGTTAGGGTGAAGTTCGTCCATAAATGTTTGCACTTCGGTCCACTTTGCACAAATGTCCTTAATCTTTGAAGAAGGCACCTTCCTCCATCTTTCTTCCTCCTCCTCTGCAGCAGTTTCCTGAGCTGTGATCTTCTGCTGTTGCAGATGAAGCTCTTGCAGCTCTTCAGTGGTTAGCTCTTCCCTGTGGTCCTCCTCCAACTCTTCCACATCCTCGCCACTCACCTTCAACCCCAGGGACTTCCCCAATGCCACAATAGATTCCACAACTAGCATAGGCTCCTTAGGGTCAGCCTCAAGTCCTTCAAAATCCCTCTCTTGTACACATTCTGGCCACATTTTTCTCCAAGCAGAATTCAAAGTTCTGCAAGTCAATCCTTCCCAAGCCTTACCTATAAGGTTTATGGAAGTGGGATATTGAAGTGATCTTTCCAGAAATCTCTTAGGGTCAATTCAGTGTCTGAGGTCACTTCAAAGCACGTTTGAAACACTGCTTTGGTGTACAGTTTTTTGAAGTTGGAAATGACCTGTTGGTCCATGGGCTGGATGAGAGGAGTTTTTATTAGGGGGCATGAACTTCACTGTGATGATACTAAACTCCTCCACTATTTGCTCACTTGAGTGGCAATTTGTTTTCCAGGAGGTATTTCTTCACACTGGGGCCAAACACTTCATTAAACCAGTCTAGGAAAATTTCCCTTGTGACCCATGCCTTATTGTTAGCCTTCCACATCACACACAAATTACTCTTGGCGACACTGTTTTTCTTGAACACACTGGGATTTTCAGAGTGATACACCAGTAAAGGCTTCACTTTGCAATCCCCACTAGCATTACTGCAAAACATGAGAGTAAGCCTATCCTTCATAGGCTTGTGTCTTAGGAGTGCTGTTTCCTCCTGCACGATGTAGGCCCTCTTTGGCATTTTCTTCCAAAAGAGGCCTGTTTCGTCACAAACACTTGTTGGAGTTTGAATTCTCCAGTGTCTACGCACTCCTTAAATCTCTCAAACCAACCTTTGCTGGCCTTAAAATCACAAGCATCACCACTCGTTGCAGGCATTTTCTTTACGAGATCGTCATGCAACTGCTTTGCCTTTTCACATATTATCGACTGCATAATGCTGTCTCCTGCTAACTGTTTTTGGGTAATCCACACCAACAATAACCTTTCCACTTTGAGGATTTGCGATCTCTTTTTTGTCAGCATATCTACCCCTTTTGCAACAAGAGCACACTTTATTTCCTTTCCCTTCGACACGATCGAAGTGATGGTTGAATGGGGTTTGCCATACATCCTGGCAAGTTCTGTAACACGCACTCCGCTCTCATATTTTTCAATGATTTCCTTCTTGAATTCGATCATGTTCCTCGCTTTCTTTACCAAAGGGCTTGCACTAGCTTTCCTTGGGCCCATGGTGACTTATTTAGCAGTTGCAAGCACAAAAAACAATGGATTATTATGAAATGTATTGTATGAACTCGCAGGGTGATGGTCACGTACTGGTAAACAATGGCACACAGTGTGTGAATGGTGCGGGAGACTGGCTTTGTGTGCGCGGTGATGGGGGGAGAGGTACCGGACGGTCGCCGAATTACGAGTCCAATTACGAACCACGAGGCTAAATTTTGCCGAAAGCCGGATGTCACGAAAGTCGATGCCGACGAAACTCGTGGGTCCACTGTACCTCTTCATGCCACTTTCAGCAACACTGGTATGGCTACTGGATGTCATAACTGCTTGGCAGATACAAGATCTTCTTTCAACAAACTGGCCGTATCCCACCAAGGCAGGGTGGCCCAAAAAGAAAAACAAAAAATTTTCTTTTTAAATTTAGTAATTTGTACAGGAGAAGGGGTTAATAGCCTCTTGCTCCCAGCATTTTAGTCGCCTCTTACAACACGCATGGCTTACGGAGGAAGAATTCTGTTCCTCTTCCCCATGGAGATAAGAGGAAATAAACAAGAACAAGCACTAGAAAGAAAATAGAAGAAAACCCAGAGGGGTGTGTATGTATATATATGCTTGTATACATGTATGTGTAGTGTGACATAGTGTAAGAAGTAGCAAGACGTACCTGAAATCTTACATGTTTATGAGACAGAAGAAAGGACACCAGCAATCCTACCATCATATAAAACAATTACAGGCTTTCATTTTACACTCACTTGGCAGGATGGTAGTACCTCCTTGGGCAGTTGCTGTTTACCAACCTACTACCTATAGATATAGTAATTAAAATATCAAAACACAATTCACAAACACAGCTGCCCTGTAGCAGAGAAAGACTGGACTGGATACGTATGAATTACGAATGCTGGGGTGGTTGGGTAGTGTCGGGGAGTGGTAGAGGATGGCGGGAGGGCTTCCCGGCTGCTCCACAACAAGGCGGTCTCTTGAGCAAAAGAGATATTTTTTTTTCCTTTCCACAAACTGAACCATGTAAAATTAATTATACGACTGTTGTACATAAAATTGTGCCGCAATTCTTCAGTGGCGATCTACTGTATTATTATAATAATGATAGAGCTCCAGTTCCCTAAATTAACAATAATAATAATGTATAATACGTGTGTAATAATAATTCGGATTGCTTCTGTTAGCTGGCACAGCTGATAGCACAGCTGGTAAGCAGTAAACATGTTTACATCGCTGTGGGAGCAGTTCTCTCGTGCTTGTTTGCATTTTTTACAGTCATTTGGCCAAATTTCTTTTTTCTAACCATGGGTCCTAAGAAAATAAGTGCAAAGGACAGTGCTGAGAAGAAAAGGATGATGATTTCCATGGACTTAACTAGGCAATACATCGTACGCCGCACCCTCAACATCCCCCACCCACACTTTATATAAACAGCTTTTATATGATATTCCTTATTTATAAATACATTGTTTCAGTGTTTTCCTTAGAAAACTAGTGATCTACTGCAGTTAGCCTAAAAAATACTCAGTTTTCTCTTACAGCAAGAACATGGGAAGATACTATATTCAAATTGGGACAGAAATGGCGGACGCTTCTGCTGCTGCCTCTGTCACCATATTATGGCCTATTTTATTCATTCTAGAATATATATCATGTTTCTGTGCTAATTATATTGTTTATTATGTCATGTTAGATGAATTGTGATAGATAAATAAGCCGTACAGTTGATAATAGTGTCATATTCAATTATTTTTTCTCGTCTCTCCAGAGTGCAGGAATTTATTAATGACTTTTCAGTTAATTTAAATGAGAAAAATTAATTTGATATATGAGTAAATTGAGTTACAAGCTAGCTCCTGAAATGGATTAAACTTGTAAGTCAAGGTTCCACTGTATGTGAATAACTCAGAAATAAGTTACTGACATTGCGTTTCCTTTTTTGAGAAAAGTATTAATAGGATTGTCATGATTTTTGCACACGTTATTGAGGAATGATGGTTCTACAAACACCCAGGGAGGATTTCTGATATTATTTACAGCTTTGTTTTTAATGATTTTTTCTCCACAAAAATTAGCAACAAAAAAATCACCAACTTCAACTTTTTTTTTTTTTTATGGAATGTCCTGACATTATCGCTGAAACAGCCAAGTTAACACTAATCTAGCCTTTATCTTTCATCTGATGTTCAACAGAGTATTGTACATCTTCCCAATTTAGTAGAAAAAGGAAAGTTTTATGACCCATCAAATTGTGCATAATTTATTTTTTTTCTATCTAACTTGAAGGTTAACAGTCAAAACAGTGTATATATTTTTTAATGCTGCTTAAATCAATGTCAAAATCTCATTGAAATTTGACCAAAAAAAAAAAAAAGTTGGTGATTTCGTTTGCCCCTCCCTCAACGCACCACTTGCCTTTTTTCTTTCATTATTTCTATGGTTAACCTCATCCTTCATAAACCCATCTGCTGACAAGTCAACTCCCAAATATCTGAAAACATTCACTTCTTCCGTACTCCCTCTCTCCAATGTGATAATAAATTTTTCTTTATCTAAATTGTTTGATACCCTCATCACCTTACTCTTATCTATGTTCGCTTTTAACTTTCTACCTTTACACACCCTCCCAAACTCGTCCACTAACCTTTGCAGCTTTTCTTTAGAATCTCCCATAACCACAGTATCATCAGCAAAAAGTAACTGTGTCAACTCCCATTTTGTATTTGATTCCCCATAATTTAATCACACCCTAATCCCCAACATCCTAGCATTTACTTCTTTTTTATCACAAATATTAAGTATATTTATGTGTTCCCCACAGGATGGTTTGATACCCAAAGAAACTTTGAAGTGCCACATGTGCAATTTTTATCAATTTAATTCACTTCAGGTAAGTAGAATTGTTCTTTTGATCTTTAATATTATTTTTCCAGTTACAGTAGTGAAGAAAGTGATCATAAAATTCATGGCAATATTATGAATTTATTATGTTAAAATATTTTAATTGTGTGCATTTGTGTGTTTATACTGTATTTCTGCTGTGGAAATATCAGAAAGCTTCTCCCTCTGATCAATCAGGCTATGATGTATAATTGGACCGCAATTTCCTAAGCAATACCCTGATTGAAAGGAAACACCAGAAAAGCCTGTCCCCAAGCTGGGGCTGGGGGAAAGTGGGAAGGGCTCATGAAATCTGTTACGGGTCACAATTTACATTTTAAATCACACCCCCCAACCTCATGTGGTCATGCCTCATTCATTTTTAAATTTAAAGCCCTCCCTCTGGGTCGGGGCCTTACTTAAACTACTATGAGAAAAGGGCCCACTTGAACAAGTACCAAGGGCCCCCAAAAGCCCGGGGGGAAATTTTATACACACAGCCCATGAAAAAAAACAAATCCCAGAAAGGTAAATGTATCATAAATTTTCTGTTAACTTCTTTTTAAAGCCCTTTTATCTTATAAAAATTTACAAAATGGAAGAAAAAAAAAACACCTAAGAAACAGGGATTTTTTGTATCCTATTTAACACTTTGGGCCCACCATTCACGACCGCACATGCTTTTTTTATATTACATACATCTATTTTTTTTCCCCTTTCTAAAAAAGCTCTTTTTTTCTTTTTTATTTTTTCCCATTGTCCATGGGGAATGGAAAAAATTTTTTCCCCCCTTAAGCCTTGGGGTGCCCGTATGAGGCGACTAAAATGCCGGGAGCAATGGGTAGTAACCCCCTTCCCCCTGTTTAAAATTTTACAAAAAAAAGAAAAAGAAAAAAAATTTTAAAAAAACTGGGTTGTTTAAAATGTGCGTGGATGTAGTGCGGTAAAAAGAAAAGATAAATTGCGGGTTTTTAAATTAAATTTAAAAAAGTTGGTTGTCCCTGGCCAAAGGGCGAAAAAAAGCTAAAGGGGGGTTAAGGGATTTTCAGGGGGGGGAAAAAAAGGGGGATTAAATTGGAGAAACTGAGAGAGTTAGAGAAAAGGGAAAGGGGTTTAGCAGAAATTTAAAATGATCGGGTTAGGAAGGGGGAAAAGGAATATGAATTTTAAATTCAAAAATTATGTGGTTTTAAAGTAAAGGTTGGATGCGAAAATTGGGCCCATAATAAGCGTGTATGCACCTGGAGAAAAAGGAATGCAGGGGGAGAAGAAAATTTTGGGAAAATTTTAAATTGAAGGGATAACCCCTTTTAAACCCAAGTGAGAGAAAATTTTGTGGTAGGGGACTTAAATTTGAAAAGTAGGAAAAAATTTTAAAAGAGAGGGTGTGGAGGAAATTTTTGGGGGCCAGGTGAAAATGATAAGGGGACCCTTTGATTGAACTTTGAAAATAGAAAGGGGTTTGGTATTATAGGAAATCCCAAATTTTAAAAAAAAAGGGGATAAATAAGTATACACAATTTTGAGGGTAGGGCAAATGACATGTTTGTTGGTTTATGTATTGGTAGAAAAAAGGGGACTTTTGAGTAGACTTCGGGTTTTACATTTTTAAGGGGCACAGATATATCAACCATTTTCCCTATTGTAGCTACCCCCTGGGGAGAAAAGGTAAAGGGATACAAGGAGAATAAAAAGCATCAGGGGGAAGGGAGTTTTTGAAGGTTTTTAAACTAAAAGGGAGGCATTTTTAGGGAAAAGATATAAACAGTTTATTGGAGGATAGAGGGGCTAATGAACCCATGGGCAAGGGGGCAAGGGGGTAGGGGGTTGGGTTTAAAAAATGAGTTTTTAGAGTGTTCAGCAGAAGTTTTGGGGTTACGGGAAAATTGGGTGCAGGAGGAAAGAGGGAGCGATTGGGGGAAATGATGATGTAAAGAAAATTTAGTAAGGGAGAAAAAAATTAGCATATGAGGGAAATTTTTTTTCAAAGTAGAAGTGATGCAAGGAAAGGGGAAAAGATATGGGGAAAAAGAGAGAGTTAAGAGAGGGGGTTTTAAGCAAAGTAAAAAAGAAAGCAAAAAAAGAGAGTGGGGGAGATGTTATCAACAAATTTTTTTGAAAATAAGAAAAAATTTTTGGGGTAGATTTAAAAATTAAGAAAGCCCCAGGGGAACAAATGGGTTTGTCAGTTAAAATAGGGAGAGGGGAGTTTTTAAATGGAGAGTTAAAAGGTAATTGGGGAAAATGGAAGGGAAAAATTTTTAGGAATTGTTAAATGTTTTATAAAGGGTAGGGAAGCTGTGATTTTGTTGTTAGGGGAAGGGGGGAATTAAAATCTTTTAGGGGTGAGGAAGAGCCATTTTGGGGTGTGGGGGAAATTCTTTAGGCGTAGGTTAAAAAGAAAGGGGGGGGAAAGGCCCGCCCGGGGGTTTATGGGGTAAAGATAGAAATTTAAAAACAGGTGGGGATTTAAAGTTTTTGGGGGGTGGTTTTGGGGCAAAATTTTTTAATAAATGTATGGAAAAGGGAAAGGGGTTTCCAGGGGTTGGCAAGAGCAAGCAAGGTTTCCTTTTATAAAGGGAAAAAGGGGAAAAAAAAGAGGGCAAAAAATTTTTAGGGGATAAGTCCCCCGCAAAAAGAATTCCGGTTTTGTTTGGGAAATTAGGAGGAGGTGCGGGGGTTACCAAAAAAGTTGTCCAAAAGGGCCCGAGGAAGGGTTTTTTGAGGTGGTTCGGGAAAGTTGAGAGAATGGGGGGCGAAACCCAAAGAAACTTCAAGGGGTGTATCAGTCCCGTAGTGGGGAAAAAAGGCGGGGTGGGGTTCCGGGTAGGAAGGGGTTTTTGGGAGGGGGGAAAAAGGTTTTGGTGGGGAGGGGCCTTTTTGGCTTCCCCGCAGGGATGGTGAGGGGGTTTTATAGGAGTTTAATGGAGACAAATGGTTTTTAAAACTTGACGTGGTTGGGGTGTGAGCAAAGTAACAAATTTTTAAGGGATCCAGGGAAACCGGCCCGGCCGGACTTGGGGCCTGGAGATGGGGAAATACAGTCCTGCACTCTGAAGGGGGGTGTTAAAAGTTCAGTTTAAAAAAATGTAAATGTAAAGCACCCTTCTGGGCAAACAGTGATGGAGTGAATGTGGGTTTAAAGTTTTTTTTTTTTTCGGGCCACCCGCCTTGGTTTGGGGAAACGGCCCGGGTTTTTGATAATAAAAAAAAAAATAAAAAAAAGTCTGTTGAGTTTTACCCGGAAAAGGTTTGGAAAAGTTAAAATTGAAAGAATTTAAAAGTTAAAACGGGGAATAATAGCAATGAACAAGGAAGGGGGTTTTAAAGGGAAAAAAAGGGGGGGTGTGGAAACCGGTTTTTTACAGTGAAACATTAAGTGAACCGTAAAAAAGATAAAGGTAAAGAGGGTTTTTGGGGGCATTTTGGGTTTGGAAAAGGCGTATGAAAAGGGTGGATAGGGGGGCAATGTGGCAGATTTGCCCTAGTGTATGGTGAGGGGTAGGTTACTGAAAACAGTGAAAATTTTTTAAAAGAGGATAGTGAGGCTCAAGTTAGAAGATTAAACCCAAAAAGGGAAATTTTTTTCCCCTATAAAGTAGGCCTTTGACAAGGAAATTTTTGATGTCACCGTGGTTGTTTAAAAAATAGTTGGGGGTTGAAAGAAATTTAAAAGCGGGGCCTTGGCAAAGGGGTGGAGTTTAAAAGAAAAGAATTCCAACACCCCCGTGGGAGTTGTCACAGCTGCTCTTTTGCTGATGACACTGTGCTTTTTGGGAGAATCTGAAGAGAATTGCAAAAGGGTTTTGGTTTGGAAAAAATTTGGTAGGGGGGTTTTCAAAAGAAGAAAAATTTAAAAGGTTTAAAAACAGGAAAAAGTAAAAGGGTTTTGAGGATAAAAAAAAGTTAAAGGGGATAAAGATTGAAAATCAGATTGGAGGGAGGGAGTTTTGGAGGAGGGGAACGTATTTAAATAAATTTTGGGGGTGGGCGTTCAGCGGTGGGCTAAGAAAGAAGAGGGAATTATTAATTATGAGGGAAAAAAAAAAAAGGTGAGTGGGGCCCCTTAAGTTTTGTGGAGACAAAGAAATTTTTCCCTTTGGGGGAAAAAGGGGAAGTATGAAGTATTTGTTTTTTCCAACGGGTTTATATTTTGGGTTTTGAAGCGTGGGTGATGAATGTTTTCAGGAGGGAAGGCGGAGGCCGTGGGATGTCATGCTGAGGGCAATTGTTGGTGAAAATAATGCCGAGAAAACCGTAGTTTTTGGGAAATTTGGAGGAGTTCGGGGGGTTTCCCAAAAATGTTTTCCCCCGGGGTGAGGAAAAAAGGGGTTTTTGGGGAGGTGGTTTTGGAAAATTTTGAGAGAATGGAAACAAAAAGAATGACTTCAAGAGTGTATCAGTCTGTAGTGGGGAAGGGGGGGGGGTAGGGGTCCGGGCCTAGGAAGGGTTTTGGGGGGGGGGGTTTAAAAGGGGGTTTTTTTTTGCGAGGGGGGTTTTGGGTTCCAGAGGGATGCGGGGGAGGTTTTGATTTGGGAAATGAAAGGAACAAATTTGGGTTTTTTAAAATTGACGTGCTGTTAGTTTTGAGCAAAGTAACATTTATGAAGGGGTTCAAAGGGGAAAACCCGGGAGGGCCGGACTTGATCCTGGGGAATTGGAAGTACAGTGCCTGCACTCTGAAGGAGGGGGTTAATTTGCAGTTTTTAAAAAATGTATGTAAAGCACCCCCTGGCAAACAGTGATGGAGTGAATGTGGTGAAAGTTTTTTTTTTCGGGCCACCCCGCCCTTTGGGGGGAATCGGGCCTTTTGATAATAAAAAAAAAAAGGTTTTAATAAAATTTGTGGGGGAAAAATCCTTTTTTTATTATATCAAACAAGTTTTGGGATTTTGGGTTTTCTCAAATTGATTTAAATGGGAGTTTTCAAACTGAAAAAATTTTAAAATGCAGTATTAAAACTGATTAAATTGTTTTTTGGGGGATGAAAGTGAATGAAAAGGAGCCTTT